CCTTTTCTATCCTTTCCCCGCTTTCCTGCCCTGCCACTTGTGGGGCATAGCCTGGGTTCCCTCTCCTCACCTGGATCCCTGCAGCTGACTCCTCAATCTGTCCTGGTCCCCTTGGCTTTTTTCCTCTTCTTTATCCCTCTCCTTTATTGTCACTTTTGGTGTATAGCCTGGGTTGATGAAAATCTTCAGTTTCCTCATTTTTTGGCTTTGGTGGTTGGTGCGTAAATTTGAATAATAGTAGTATTAACTGGTCTTCCTTGTAGACGTATGCATATTATCCTATCACTGACAGCACTGTACTTCAAGAGAGATCTTGAACCATCCTTTGTGATGATGAATGCCATGCCATTCCTCTTCAATTTGTCATTCCCGGCCTAGTAGATCATGTGGTTATCTGATTCAAAATGCCCAAAACCCATCTATTTCAGCTCACTAATGCCTAGGATATCAGTCTTTATGCGTTCCATTTCATTTTTGACGACTTCCAATTTTCCTAGATTACTTCGCACATTCCATGTTCCAGTTATTAATGGATGTTTGCAGCTGTTTCTCCTCAATTTGAGTCATGCCACGTCAGTACGCGGAGGCCCTAAAACACTTAATTTATCCATATCATTAAGGTTTGTTCTACTCTGATGAGGCAGCTCTTTCCTAGTCCCATTTTGAGTGCCTTCCAACCCAAGGGGCTCATCTTCCTGCACTGTGTCGGACAGTGTTTCCAAGCTATTCATAAGTTGCCCAGTAATGTATCAGACAGTGTTTCTCTGCTATTCATGAGGTTTTTCCTGGCCAATTTTTGAGAAGTGGATGGCCTCTTCCTTCTTCCTAGTCTGTCTTGGTCTGCAAGCTGCATTGAAACCTGTGCACCATGTGCAACTCTGCTGGCGTTTGAAGCACCAGTGGCACAGCTTCAAGCCTCACAGCAATGTAAAAGCCCCACAGAATGACAAACTGACAGACAAGTTTGTCTCCATTAGCTGTTGGAAACCTCTGTGCCCTCCCCTTACCTAATTCCTACCTGGAACCTGCCACTTTGTGGTCCCTGGCCACTCCCTCCCTTTCTTGGCTCTAGGGGGCTGGGGCCTCCCTTGTCTCCTGCCCCTTACCTGGATCCTGCCACTCCTGTGTTCCCCAGCCACTTCACTCCCTCTTTCCTGGTTCTAGGAGTCTTGGGGCCTAGCCTTGCCTCCCACCCCTTATCTGGATCCTGACGCTCCTGTGGTCCCTGGCCACTCTGCTCCCTCCCTCTCCATAGAGCCTTGAAAACCCAATGGCAGTCACTATGAGTTGGAATTGACTTGATGGCATGAGTTTGGTTTTGGGTTTATATATGTGTGTGTGTGTGTGTGTGTGTGTGTGTGTGTTCATATAAATAATAAAGCACATAGTGGCACAGTTACAGGTATTTCTTAGACTAACCAAATATATTGTAGGATTAGTTTTCTGGGTTTGAAGCCTTAGGACCATAGTCTCATGGGACAAGTTAGTCAATAGAACACAGCTCACAAAATTTATGTTCTACATCCTAGGGTTTTTGGTTTTTCTTTTCCTTTTTTTACAATCCCCAACCATGAAAGCTCCTACCATCTCTTCCCTATGACTACCCCTTCCCTGTGCCCCTCATATCGATGCATTCCTCTCTGCCCAGCTTTCCCTCTATGTGAATGCTGCCCTTCTGATATCTCATGGTTGATCGATCTAAGGGTTGCATCTCCCTAGGGCAGATGTTCTTCTTGTAGGTCTTTCTATTATTAGGCTTAGAGCTAATCCATGGAAGTGAGTCCATGTCCAGGCCCAAAGGGTAACCCACAGCCATAATCTCAGGGATTCTGCCACATCCCAGTTTTTTGAGTAACATCTGAGGACATAAAATCTTGTGGTATCCATCTAAGATACAAACTAACAGTCTCTTCTTGTCCAGTGCAAAATAGAAAAAGGAAACCAAAGAATCAGGGAAAAACATAGTCCGTAGAACTATTAGTGTACACAAACTACGGCCTCATCTACCCTGAGACCAGAAGAACTAGATGGTGCCCATTCTGATCTGACAACCATCCTGGGCAGGGCCACAGTAGATCAATCTTGATAGAAAGGGAGGAAAACATGGACCACAACTTAAATCCTTAAAAAGTCCAAATATAGTGGGTCAATTGAGACTGAAGAACTCCTCAAGACTGTCATCCTGAAATACTCCATAAACCTGGAACTGAACCTACCCCGAGAGAACCTTTTAGTTAAATAACAGATTGACTTATAATATAAAGAATATTACCAGTGAGTGCTGTGTGACTTTAAAAATCATCTGTGTGAACAAAATCATCAACAGTTATTCTAACTCAAAGGTGAAAGGTAAGGGGACAGGGAAAGAGATTACTGGAAATGAAACATACAGAAGCGAATTAATGAGAATGTTAACAGATTGTGAAAATATAACCAATGTCTCTGAAAATCTTTTATAGTAGTTGTTAGATAACTATGTAAGCCTTTACTGAAAACACAATAAACTATTATTTAAAAAAAGAAAATGGTAAATAATCTGGTTTAGCTGGAGAAAAGGGTCATATACAGGAATACATGAAAAGGTAAGCTGCAGCCAAATTTTGCAGGCCTCCATTGTTGCACAGTTACAATGAGGAGAATGAAGGTTTCTGAGCAGTGAGTTGGTCAGAGCAGTGCTTGGTGAGGTAGTATTTGAGGGAAGGTATACTTGGAGCAGGGAAGGTATACTCGGAGCAGGAAAGATAATTAGGAGACTGTATTGATTTTCCATTGCTACATAATATTACCATAAATTTAGCAGCTTAAAACAACACCCATTTTTTATCTCACAGTTTCTGTTGGTCAGGAGCCTAGGTGCTGCTTAGCAGTTTCATAGGCCTTCAAAGTGTTGGCTGGCACTACTGTCTCATCTGAGATTCCAGAGGGGAAGAATTCACTTTTGTAGTAGAATTAGACACCTTGTGGTTTGGGACCAAGGACTTCAGTTTCTCGCTGACTGTTGATGAGAGGCTACCCTTGGCTCCTAGCAGCCACCCTGCCCCGTAGTTCTCCCACCACAGGCAGTCCACACATGGCAGCTTTCATCTTCCAAGTTTTCAAGGGAGTGTGAGACTTCAGCAAAACAAGTGCTATATCCTAAGTTACATAATTACATATATTCTGTTACCTGTGCCATATTCTTTTTGTTAGAAGCAAGTCCCACATTATTCCCATACTGAAAGGGAGAGGACTTTGCAGGGGCATGACCATGAGTGAACAAAGGGGCCACTCTAGAATCTGTCTGCAACAGATACAGTTGATGAAGCAAGAAGCACTCAGAGCCCGAATTACTGAGAATAAGGAAGAGTCAGATTCAAGAAAGTATGTATAGGGAATAATGATGATTTCTTGTCCCCACACATGTTAAAGTCTTTGTATACATTATCTCATATAAGTCTCTCAGTGTGTCTCTATGTCAGTGCCAGGAAAATCTTTATTTCACAGATGAGGCACAGTCTTTGAGAAATTAATTACCAAAGTCACATACATCGTAGCTGCAAATCTGGGTGTCCAAACCTAGATTTAAACTAGGATGTCAGTTCTGGAACTCATAGTCTTAATCATTCTGCTCTTCTTGGACTTAAATGTCTAGTAGATCTGAAAGGAGATGGATAAGAAAACATTAAAGATAACTCCAAGATCATAAACCATTTCAACTTGGGAAGTGTTGCTGTTAATTAAAATAGAAATCTCATGAGGGACACTAGTATAAATAATAACTATACGCAGAGCACACACCAGGCAGTGCAAAGCAATCAGTATGCATTATCATACTATATAAAATCCTTTCCCCAATTTTGTTGTTGCTGTTAGCTGCCTTTGAGTCAGCCCTGATTCATGGCAACCCCATACACAATGGAAAAAAATGTTGCCTGGTCCAGCTCTGTCCACATGATTAATTGGGGATCAGACCATTGTGATCTGTAGTGTTCCATCGGCTGGCTTTCTGCCTTTCTTTTAGTCTGTCTTAGTCGAGAAGCTCCACTAAAACCTGTTCAGCATCATAGCAACATACAAGCCTCTACTGACAGACAGGGAATGGCTGTACCTGAGGTACACTGGCTGGAAATCGAACCTGGGTCTCCTGCATGAAAGACAAGAGTTCTACCACTGATCTCAGAATCAGCTGTTATCACAGTCTATTCAGCCATGACCCCATTGTTCTTGCCCTACTGCTTCCCTGTCATCCCTTTACAGATGACCCGTCTTATCAATAAAATAGCCTATATTGTGCTCACTATACAAGTGAAAAAAATCTGGGCCTGGAATTTGAACTCTGTCCTGACAGCAAAGTCCAAGCCCAAGGTCCTGACTCTCAGTGATCTTCAGTTGTTATTGGAGCTTCCAAGGACTAACTTCCATCATGTCTTATTTCCTATGAAATGGATAGAAACAGAGAGCATTTTTTTATGTGTTATTTTTTAATTACATTCAGCTCTGAAAACTTCCATGTGAGCTTACATATCTAATATTTTGCTGTATGTTAATTCTTTTTTTTTAAATGTATCTATCGTGCACTTTTTTTCTTAATGAGCTTCCAGTATATCCAATATGATGACCACATTGAATTTCTGCCTAAAACACTGAGTTAATACTTTTATTGCATTATTTTTCAGGTGTGCAAATGAAACCAAATTCAAAACGGAAGAAGTATTTTGGGCTTACAATTTCTGTCCTACTCCGTACTCGTGGACCGCACTTCTGGGCCTTATTTTATATCTTGTTTTCTTCGCACCTGGTAAACAAAGTGTTTGTTGTTGGTATTATTATATTAATTAAATAGCCTCTTTTTGGAAGAAGCAAGCGACTATTTTTCAAATTCTTTATATGGTATTTTACTGAAATTTTTAATTGTGTATTTCTCAGGAATGGGACCAATGCCTTGGACTGTGAATTCTGAAATATATCCCCTTTGGGCAAGAAGTACAGGAAATGCATGTTCATCTGGAATAAACTGGATTTTCAATGTTCTAGTTTCACTGACATTTTTGCACACAGCAGAGTATCTTACATACTATGGTAAGAATGTACTTTTTTCCCGACTATATTTTCCATTTTACTCTTCCTATTCTATTTTTAGATATGCTATCATTTGTGAATGAAAGGCTGGGCAGTTATATTTTTGTTGTTATAAATATCTCCATGTGGATTTCTTGTTCCCCAAAGCCCTTGGAAACATATCTGGGAAAAGGTGAGCAGAATTCTCCTTTCCTAAACTGCATTGCTTCCTGTCTCTCACTGCTATATGACAGTCACCCCTCCACTCATCCATCCCAAACATCCTCCATGTATCTCCCAAGGTGGAAATCTTCATTGTGTGGTTTTTTAGTTTAGAGAGAAACATAAACAGCAGGAAAGATAGGAAGATGCAGCTAGGGAGTCTTGTCCTAATGCTTGAAGATATTCTGTGAGAAGATAGAGTCAATGTCCAAGACAAGAGTGGAATCAAGATAGGGCTCAAAGCAGTTCACCTAAATGGTTAAATATACATGCTGGGCCAATTTTAAAAATATATCCTAAGCTAGATTGATAGATAGTAGATAATGTGAATTATGTACCTTCCATTATACTGTATCATCTGTGCTGGTCAGGCCAAGGCACACACATTTCAGTGTCCTATGTAACCAACCAACACTTAACACTTCTACAAACTTCAGCATAACCAGAGGGTTGAAATGAAAGTGTATGGAGATCATAACTCAAGGAAAACACTATTGGGAAGTGACTGAGTTAAGAAAATACTTCAGGAAGCTATTTCAAATCATCCAATTTTACAAAAGTAAAAGACTTTCTTTTTAGAAAGAGAATTTCTGCATTTCCTACATGAGTTTATGGGTTGTCATCAGATTTTAAATGATAAAATGTGAAATTTTCATTCTAGTCTCCCCATAAATCCTCTTTAGTGTCTGTGGGATACCTACTGCTTAGATCATTCTTCTTCCAGAGCTGCATCCCCACCTGTTCTGTTTACCTAATGCCACTCTGACAAGAATATATGACAGATGGGATGGCCTTAACAAACAGTTTATTCTCTTACAATTTGGAGACTTTAAGTCCGAGTTCAAAGTGCCAGGCCTTAGGGGCTGAGTAAAAGCCCCTCAGACTTGAGCTTCAGCTCTGCCTCCAGCTCCCAGCCCACTGAAGCTAGAGGCTTTTCTTCACTCAGACAGCTGCTGGCTGCTAAGGTTGCCAAGCCCAAGGGTGACAAATAAAAAGGCACAGTCCTAATGTCACCAAACCACATGGCAGGCCATTAATTCAAGTCCACTGAAAGTCCCAAGGTCGCCAGAGCATGGCAAGCTGCTGAACAACGACATGACTATGTGCAGGGTTCAAGGTGCCTTAAGCTAGAGACCATTCCAAAAGGCTGTTTATATACGGGAAGCAGACCTCAGCTGCTTGTGGTAGATCCCATCATGGAGTTGATTGCCAGTCTCATCATGGGGAATAACTACCACCAGCTGCCCAGCCACTCAGCCAGGCCCAGCCAGGTTGACACTCAAACATAACCACCACACCACCTCTCTTCATCCCATGTTCTGGGCATTTACAATCCTGATGCAAGAATATGTTTACTTACCTGTCCCTGTACCCTCACCTTACTAACCAGGTGCCATTGAGGCAACTCCACAGATGTCAGAATAAAGGTGGGTTTTATAGGGTTTTCAGTGGCTGATTTTTGGGATGTAGATTACTAGGCTTTTTTCTGAGACACCTTGAGTGGACTCCATCCTCCAGCCTTGCAGTTATCAGCCAAACACATTCACCTTTGCACTATCCAAGGACCGTAAGTCACTTGATGGGCAGAAAAAATCTTCACCCTTGTATTCCCTGTGCCATCCAGGGCATCCTGATCACATGACAAGCACTCAAAAGTGTCTGTGAAATGAATAAATGGATAGACCTTGTAAAGTAGTGATGACTATGAGGAAACATTATAACAATCTATTTTCCCTTTCTTCTGAACATGGTGAATTTGTATTTACTTTAGTTATACTGTTTCTGTAATGCTTTTATTATCTTTAAGAAACTCTTCTCTCTCCTAAGCATCATGTCAAATATTTAGAAATACTCATTTTCTTAAGAAGGAAATACACTGGTATTTTAAAGAAGAGATAGTTGTACATGTGTGTGTATATATATATATACACACACACACACACACACACATACACATATATATACATATATATAAAATAAGACAGAAGCAGAAGAAAGAAGAGGCCATCCACTTCTCAAAGAATTGGCTAGTGAAAACCTTACGAATAGCAGTGAACCACTGTCTGATACATTACTAGAAAACTTTTTGAATAGCCCTGAAACACTGTCCAATATAATGATGACCCTCAAGTTGGAAGGCACTCAAAATATGACTGGGGAAGAGCTGCCTCCTCAGAATAGAGCCAACCTTAATGATATGGATGGACTAAAGCTTTTGGGACCTCCAATTGCTGATGTGGCAGCATCAAAATGAGAAGAAATAGCTGCAAACATACATTAATAATTGGAACATGGAATGTACAAAAGATGAAACTAGGAAAATTGGAAGTTGTCAAAACTGAAATGGAATGCATAAAGATCAATATCCTAGGCATTAGTGAGCTGAAATGGACTGGGTTTGGCCATTTTGCATCAGACAACCACATGATCTACTATGCCAGGAATAACAGATTGAAGAGGAATGACATGGCATTCATCATCACAAAGAATATTTCAAGATCTATCCTGAAGTACAATGCTGTCAGTGATAGGATAATATCCATACTCTTACAGGGAAGACAAGTTAATACTACTATTATTCAAATTTATGCACCAATCACAAAAGCCAAAGATGAGGAAATTGAAGATTTTTACCAACTTTAGCAGTCTGATACTGACCAAACAAGCAATTGAGATGTGTTGATTATCACTGGTGACTGGAATGCAAAAGTTGGAAACAAAGAAGAATCACTGGTAGTTGGAAAATTTGGCCTTGGTGACAGAAATAACACTGGAGATGGCATGATAGAATTTTGCAAGACCAATGACTTATTCATTGCAAATACCGTTTTTCAACAACACAAACGGGTTATACATGCAGACTTCACCAGATGGAGTACACAGGAATCAGACTGACTACATCTTGGCAAGAGGCAATGGTGAAGCTCAATGTCTTCAGCCAAAACAAGGCCCAGGAGCTGATTATGGAACAGACCATCAACTGCTCATATGCAAGTTCAACTTGAAGTTTTAGACAATTTTAAAAAGTCCATGAGAGCCAAAATATGACTTTGATTATATCCCGCCTGAATTTAGAAACCATTCAAAGACTAGATTTGATGCATTGAACACCAGTGACCAAATAGCAGAGGAATCATGGGATGACATCAAGAAAATTATACATGAAGAAAGCAAGAGGTCATTAAAAAGACAGGAAAGGAAGAAAAGACCAAAATGGATGTGAGAAAAGACTCTGAAGGCTGTTCTGGAATGGACAGTAGCTAAAGCAAACTGAAGAAATGATAAGATAAAAGAGCTGAACAGAAGATTTCAAAGAGCAACTCCAGAAGACAAAACCAATTTTTACAATAAAATGTGCAAAGACCTGGAGTTAGAAAACCAAAAGGGAAGAACATGCTTGGCATTTCTCAAGCTGAAAGAACTGAGGAAAAAATTTAAGCCTCAAGTTTCATTATTGAAAGGTTCTATGGGCAAAATACTGAATGATGCAGGAAACATCAAAAGAAGATGGAAGGAATACACAGAGTCACTCTACCAAAAAGAATTGATTGATGTGCATTCATTTCGGGAGGTAACATATGATCAAAAACCAATGGTATTGAAGAAAGAAGTCAAAGCTGCACTGAAGGAACTGGTGAAGAGCAAGGCTGCAGGAATTGGCAGAATACCCACTGAGATGTTTCAGCAAACAGATGCCCCACTGGAGGCACTCATTCAGCTATGCCTCAAGATTTAGAAAACAGCTACCTGGCCAGCTGACTGGAAGAGATCCATATTGGTACCCATTCCAAAGAAAGGTGATCCCACAGAATGTGGAAATTATCAAACAGTATCATTAGTATCACATGCCAGTAAAATCTTATTGAAGATAATTCAGCAACAGTTGCAGCAGTATATTGACAGAGAACTTCCAGAAATGCAAGCTGGATTCAGAAGAGATGTGGAACAAGGAATATCATTGCTGATGTCAGATGGATCTTGACTGAAAGCAAAGAATACAAGAAAGAAGTTTATTTATGTTTTATTGACTATGCAAAAACATTCAATTATGTGGATCATAACAAATTATGGATAACATTGAGAAGAATGGGAATTCCAGAATATTTAATTGTACTCATGAGGAACCTGTACATAGACAAGGAGGCTGTCATTCAAACAGAACAAGGGAATTCTGCATGGTTTAAAATCAAGAAGGGAGTGTGTCATAGGTGTATCCTCTCACTATACTTACTAAATTTGTATGCTGAGCATATAACCCAAGAAGCTAGATGATCTGAAGAAGAATGTGGTATCAGGATTGGAGGAGGAATCATTAACAACCTGCGATACACAGATGACACAACTTTGCTTGCTGAAAATGAGGATGACTTAAAGCACTTACTGATGAAGATTGAAGACTATGATCTGCAGTATGTATTACACCTCAATAAAAGAAAACAAAAATCTTCACAACTGGTCCAATAAACAGCTTCATGATGGATGGAGAAAAGAGTGAAGTTGTCAAGGACTTCAGATTACTTGATTCTATAATCAACACCAAATGAAGCAGCAGTCAAGACGTCACAAAACATATTGCATTGGGTAAATCTGCTGAAAAAGACCTCTTTCAAGTGCTGAAGAGCAAAGATGTCTCCTTGAAGACTAAGGTGCACCTTAGCCAAGCCATGGTGTTTTCTTTTGCCTCTTATGCATGTAAGAGCTGGACATTGAATAAGGAAGACTGAAGAAGAGTTGATGCTTTTGAGTTGTGGTGTTCGAGAAGAATACTGAAAGTACCATGGTCTGCTAAAAGAACTAGC